ACCCAAAAAAGGCCTGATTTGTGGCAGACAGGGAACTGGTTTTGCCACCACGACAATGCACCTGCTCACGTAGCCATCTCAGTGTGCCATTCTTGGCCCCAAAAATGGCATGCCTCTCTTGCCCCATGCAGTTTTCTCACCTGACCTCACTCCCTGCGACTTCTTTTTGATTCGACAAATGAAGAGGGACATGGAAGGACAATGATGTGATGACAAAGAAGATGGGAAGAACAAAACGAGGGAGGTGCTGTCAGCCATCCAAACAGATGAGTTTGAAAAACGTTTCCAAGAATGGAATAGAAGATTTGACAAATATATTCATTATAATGGAGAATACTTTGAAGGTGATAAGGTTGTTTTATTTAAAAAAATTAAATGCATAGCTTTGAATATATATATTTTGGAATGTTTTTGGTACCCCCTTGTAAATAAATTACCAACCTCATTGCTTTTGCTGTTGTTGTTGTTTTTGTTAGGTGTCATTGAGTCAGATCCAACTCATAGCAACCCTATGTATGACAGAATGAAACCCTGCCTCCTCCTGCGCCATCCTCACAATTGTTCTTATACTCGAGGCCATGCTTGCAGCCACTGTGTCAATCCATCTCGTGGAGGGCCTTCCTCTTTTTTATTGCCCCTCTACTCTGTCCTACCAAGCATAACCTCCTTCTCCAGGGACTAATCTCTCCTGACAACATGGCCAAAGTGCGTGAGATGATGTCTCATCTTTGCCTCAAAAGACATTCTGGCTGAACTTCTTCCAAGACCGATTTGTTTATTCTTTGGGTTGTCCATGGTACTTTCAATATTCTCCACTAGCACCAAGTTCAAATGCATTGATTTTTCTTCTGTTTTCCATTTTCCGTGTCCAACTTTCACTTGCATATGAAACAATGGAAAATACCCTGGCTTGGGCCAGGCACGTATAAGTCCTCAAAGTGACATTCTTGCTCTTCCACATAAAGAGACCCTGTGTAGCACAGCTCCCCAATGTAACGCTCCCTTTGATTTCTTGACAGCTGCTTCCATGAGTGTTGATTGTGGACAACTTCGATCTTTTCTTGGTTTATCATGCTCAGTTCCTGGAAAAGGGTATCCTGCTTGGTCAAGTGGAGGAGCATGAAAAAGAGGAAGACTTTCGACAATTGGATTGACACAGTAGCTGCAGCAATGGACTCAAACATAGGAACAATTGTGGAGGTGCCAAAGGAATGGGTAGTGTTTCCTTCTGTTGTACCTAAGGTTGCTATGAGTCAGAACTGACTCGACAATAGCTAACAACAACAATATTTATTGGTCGAGTCCTGAGGATTTTTGCTTTCTTTACATTGAGTCACCATCTACACTGAAGGCTGCAGCCCTTGATCTTCATGAGCAAGTGCTTCAAGTCCTCCTCATCTTCAGCAAGCAAGGGTGTGTCATCTGCATGTTGCAGGTTGTTAATAAGCCCGCCTCAAATACTGATGCCAAATTATCTTTTCTTAATGAGTTTTGCTGAGCTATAATTAGTATATCATACAACTCAATAGTTCAATCATATTAAGAAAGGTTGTGCAATCACCGCAATCACCGTTTGGACACTTTCCCCTTCTTGTATCCATTGGTGTTGGCTCCCCATTTCCCCCACCGCCCCCTTCTGTGCCCCAGGTAATTATTATTTCAATTATACTGTCTTCATAAAGCCACCCATCCTGGCTTCTTTGTACAGAAAAACATACAAAAGAAGGACAAAGAACTACAACAACAAAAAACCAGAAACAATGATCATATAAAACAGAGAAAGACCACTGAGTTAGTTAGTTTATTGTGCCAACCTGGCTGATAAACACATGGGGTTAATTGAAGGGCGGAGGGATAAATGGCTCTCTGAGCCTTATCATTCTAGTTTTTGGGTCTCTTGCTTTGTGATGGTCACACTAGGGTGCAGCTACCTTAGCAGTTCCCTGCTTCAGCTGGCAAGGCTCACTTCTTGCAAGACATCCTGAGGAGAAGCCACATGGACCTACCCCAATGCAGCCCTGGGTGCTAGAGCACCTGTGTGGAGACCCCTGCCAGCGCTGAGATGTTTTCGCATTCACTGATTCGGCTTTCCTCCTGCAGTCGGCATCATTGCGTGTGTTTTGTGAGATGGAGGAGGACTTTGTGGATTGGTGTTGGACATATGGGTTAATCGGTTAATAATGGTGGACTT